ATTCCACATAGCCAGCAAGAGATCCACAGGGTTAGCGTCAAACCAAGAGTCAGTACCCAGTCTTCTCCTAATTCTCTGGCTAATAATAGGGCTCACACAATCAGTGAGATACAACAAATGAATCCTCGCAATTGTCAAAGAGGAGCGATTCAAATTGTCTACAATCTCACGTTGTACTTCATGCCAAGATCTCGAATCACTTGCACCCTGATAGGGCCCTCCTTGGAGCTTCTTGATCTGGCTCACCAGCTTCTCAGAGGCCTGAGTCACTCGGTGCTTAACAAACTCTAATTGAGCTTCATTAATAGCCAAATCATCAGAACCAATAGGTAGATCAGCAGGTCTCTCCTTCTGCCACTGAGGAGGCAGTAACCAGAAGGACTTCAAATATCCATACCGTGGCATACGGTAACCCATATTCAAACGAACTTGGGCTTTCTTAGCATTAATAGGGGCGATGGTCTTCAGATTTTCAGACAATACTGACTCCACCTGACTCACTATACGAGAGTTGATAGAGTCATTATCACCCCCTCTAGGCCTTCCATCATTGAAGGCTAGCGGATAATCTTCTTGAACCATCTTAAAATTGCCATCAGGTTGCCTACACAGTGTTACTCTCTCCCCATAGGGAGGAGTTCTACCGTAAGGTTCCCCTACCTGGCCAGCAACACTTGGGGTCGTTGGAAATGACTCCAGGTTACCATGGTAGGTCCCAGCAGTACCCACAGTGGTACTCTGGCCTTTCCTACCACCTTCAAGGGCATCAGGTGCCACTACTCGTTCTTGGTGACGTTCAGGACCATTACTAGAGTAGATTCGGCCTCTACTAGGGTCACTATAGTCATAGTGCCACACCTTTCGAGGATCACCCAGCGAACCATTGGGCATTTCCGAGTTAAAGGCCTTACCCTGCACATACCCAGCCCCTTGCTCTGTAGTTGCTTTAGACCCACCACCAGAACCAACGGGGTTGAAGGAAAAGGTCGGACTCTCCTGCCCGTACAAAGGCATACCATATTCAGAGGTAGCATTCGGCGCCACAGGAAGACCTTGGTCATGACTGCTACGACCTACATCACGACCAATAGGCTCTCCATTACCATTCAAGCTAAAGGCAGAGCCAGTACGTTTTCTCAACGTAACATGCCTATCATAAGGACTCCTCAAGTCGTTATTACTACCAATAACCTGTTGAGCTCCTACACGATGATCGTGTCACGATCAGGACTTAAATCAAAAGCTTGAGCACCCTGCACCGTCTTCACAGTAGGCCTTCCCATATTCGTCAATTTGAGATCAATAGCCTCAAGACGACAATCAAACCTAGAAGTCACTTCATTGTGTTGACGGTCACGATCATCCAAGCAAATCTTCACAGCGTTAAAGTTATCATTAGTAGCAGTCCTCAACTCCTCTATAGAGTTATAAACCTTCTCGTCTAACGCACCCACCGAGGTAGATAATTCTTTACGTAGGCGGGCATTCTCAACATCGATAGACTCCTTATGCTTATCAATCACGTTTATCAGAGTCGAGTGAGCAGCACTGTTTTCTTGCCGCATCCTCTGAAATTCAGAGGCCAAGAATTCAGTAAACTGGCCACCTTTCTCCTCAGAACCAACAATACTCTCAACAGCTTTGTTAGCAGAATCATAATCAAAGCCCGATGAGACCAGACCCTTAGAGGAGAGACCACCCTCTTTACCAGTACTACCCGCATCCTCCGGCAAATCACCATCCAAAGGTGGTGATTCCTTTGGTGCATCATCATTTTCTTCTCGAGGCTCATTAAGGACATCATAAGAAGCCTGCAATCCCGTGGACATAGCTTGAGGCTCTTCTACATACGGGGTTCCAAATACTTTGCGATACACGTTCAAGAAAAGGCCCTTCTCTACTGAGTTTAATAAACATTTATCATTCTCATAGACATAAGCAGCCATTTCTTGAATAGATCCACCCGGATTAGGAATATTCCGTATCGTAACAATAGCTTCAAGTTGAGTCCTTCCAAGATTAGCCAATAACATAGGGCTCCAACAAGGAGCTGCTACCATTTGTTGGGAGCCGTTCTGGGCCTCTTTGTCAATGTTCTCAATGTCACGAGAAGATACACTCATCCCACTCGATTAACACAACCAGTCGATAATACCAATTAATACTAATGGATAGATAATAATCAACCCACCAAGCCTTGGGTTGCAACGATAGTACTTCACGTAAGGATGGTCCAACCAGTAAGGACCACAAACCAATAAAAGAACTCTTAATCTTATCTACACTTCA